CAAACAGCAAAGGCCATGAGGATTAGGCTGAAATAGGCTGAGTCCCATATTTATGTATGAGGAGGTTAGATATGAGCAAGCACGTTCTTCATTGAAAGGTGGGTAGTTTTTGAATAGGTTTATCCTCGTTCCTTTTAGAATACCTTATCAAAAAGTTTTTCATACACAATTTGTTAGCTGGTAATTTACAATGGTTATCTTGTTTGGCATAAATTCATAAAGGACATAAAGGAATTCCACACAAAACGACAGTACTCATTTTAAGGTCCGAGCACTGACAGTATGAGACAGCAGAACACAGAAGATTGTATCCAACAAAAGTAAAGCCTCAATAAATGAATCAAATACAAAAAGTTACAAAGAAATACACAAAAAAGGGAAAGGAAAGCCAAACAAGACAGAGCACCAAACAGAATAAATTGTAAATAACAAAAAAAAAAGGCCAGAGAGACAAAACTGAAAAACAGTTCTTTGACTTTCTATCTGGATAATAAAAATCCACTATATTGTGTTGTTGATAGGTACTGTTCCTGCACTCTTTACATTTGTTGTTCATTGTGTTTTTTTGTATTACATTTTATATGCCTTTTAAAGCACTTTGTTACTCTGATTTTTAAAGTGTAACTAAGGTCCATTGTGTAGGATTTAGCGGTATCTAGCGGTGTAGTTTCAGACTGAAATTCTCTTGCTTCATCCTCCGCTTCCAAGCGTCAACATTATTACTCTCTTTGCTATGTTTACAGTTGTGCTCTGAGGCGCGCCCTGTCCTCCTGTTGGTCAATATTCGGACCGCATCTTGGAATTTGTCATACTAAGTATGAGAAGGCAAACTAATTCTGACACATTTGTCTTTCTGTAAGAACATAAGGCATCCCAGATGTGGCAGCGGTTGTCATCCAGCATGATACACTCAAGATTAAATGATCAATTGTCAAGCCCGCCGCCCACTTTGCTCTCTGCTCTTATTATTGCTCTTATAATTTTGAAATGATCTTGTTATTTAACCGTTTGTATTGAGGAAATTAAACATCTTTATATATGGTACTGAAAAAGAAGTACATCTGCCACCTGGACAACAATGACACCACCATGACAATATAGACAAATAATTTGTACATAATGCATATGTGATTCTCAGCTTTATCAAGACTACCATCCTACCACCAATTCTGGACAGCACTGTAATATTCTCTAATGACAGCAAGAAACCTGTGGTACAGACACATTGATGGAAGAGGTGTGACCAAAGTACTATTAAATCGAGACAGCTGAGATACAACCAGAGAGGATGGCACCTTAACCTTGTCTCCATGTAAGTTTCTCTAAATATTTTGAGGATAATCAGCTCTTTAGGCCATAAACAGCATGGACCGCTGCACAAAGCTTTTGTATTCACCCAGACCAACAGCCATGCAGAATGTTATTTACTCTACAGCTGAGGATAAGGAAGAGGTTAGGCCACAAACCAGCTCCTCCAGCCACAGGTCAGTCCCTCAGGGGAGGGCTCAAGATTAGGATTTTGTGCCAGGCTGAGCAGCCATTTTCTCAGCGACTAAGGGGTTGAAAACCCTCTGAGGTACAACTTAGGCAGCTAAAAAACACTTTTACAGCAAATGTAAGAATGATGGACACGATGACAACATAATGGATAGACGACAGAGGTAGAATTACCCAGAATGTTGTACTCTGTGCGGTTATGTTTCTAGTCTAGATCTTGGTCTGAGTAGTTTCTTTCTTTCTTTCCCGACCACAAGTAAAGAAACAAGATATCATCTCATCTCAAACACCGTCTCCTTAGGCTAATGTGTTAAAGTTCAAGTTTGGTATGTGTCCATGAATAAAACAGAAGCATGGTTTGTGGTTATATTAAGCAAGGGTTGGTCAAGAACACTTTCTGTTCAGTTGCATCGGTGAAAGGGAAGAAAGCCGGAGTGATCACCACAGCTGGAGTCTGACCTTTCATTGGCAAGCCACCCATTAATCTACAAAGCTGAGATCAGGGCTGGGTGGAAGGTTACAGAGTAACAAAGGCAAGATAAAAGGGCTGACATTTTCAGCTTCACATATTACTAAGGTGGCTTATCAGTAGCTTATTTTCTTTCTGCAGTTGTTTTTTTATTTTGTAACATTAAAAAACAGAGGCTACACAGATCCATTTTTGTACTATGGCAGATAAATAACTACTAATTCATATTTTTGACTGATTCACTGTCTAGATCTCATGTTAAAGAATAAGGAAGTTATTTGTTTGGCCTTTTATAAAAGGACTAATTTGAGGAAATACTCACTGTCTTACTGAGAGTCAGAGGAGAAGATTGATACCAAGATCAATAACTAATACATTACATCTTGTTGGTTTGATCCATATAAAACAGTGTAGAAATTACACTTTATGGTTTTACGTTTATGTTGAATTATTTCTTGGATTTTTGTTACCTTCAGACAGAGACAGCATCTCTATTTTAAATTGACAAGTGTGTATGCTAAGCTAAGCAGCTTCTGGCCATAGCCTTATATTTACTAGACGGATATTGGTGTCAAACTTTATTGACAAAAAACAAACATATTGAATGACCCAGCTTGAATTTGAAAATCAATTGAATATTTGAACGTGTAGATACAGTATAGAGCTTTACAAAGTAACTCCAATGACTCAAATTCATAACTTCACTGCTGTCCTGCATGAATCTGGTGGGTGATGGTGGTCTTTTAGTAGGTCCCTGATGTCAGCTCTCATTTTAGGCCTCCACTGCAAGCCAACTGTCTGGGAGAGCAGTGACAACTAACTGCCCACAACAAAAGCCCTAATCTTTTAATTTCCTCTGTTTCTCCACCATTGCTTTCACATCTGCTCACCCCATCTCCACCTTTCTCACATGCTTGCTACACCCCCTGAGCTGGCTTCTCAGGTTTCTGCAGCTGGCAGAAAATAAAAAGTAACATTGGTGTCAGACACATTTACCGTTTCAGTTTCATGAGAAACCAAGGGAGGCATTTCAAATAAAATGTGTCAATGAATATAATATTTGAAATGTCTTGACTTCTACTACAGCAATGAAAGTCTGCCTGCCAGCTCATATAGCAGAACCAAAGACAGAATTATAGTGATGAAAACTGGTGTAAATGAATTATCATACTGAAAAGCCAAAGAGGCTTATGCTTTTTCAGTCCTTCATAACAACAGAGCAATCCAATGCATCTTTAATACCCATGCTTCAGTGAAGGAGGAACAAGGAGATTGAGTAATTGTATAAGGCAAAGGTTAATCTGCTGTGTTTCCCCACATAAAGAGGACAGAAAAGAGTGACACCTGTGCCTCTGGAATCCACTTGGGAAGACAAATGACTGCAACAGAAGCAATTTGATGGTCAGACCCTGTGAGTGATGTGTCACATTGTGCCACTGCCCTGTGATCTCTAACATACCGAGACTTTAATGGATCCTGAAAGTGAGGATACACTGATCTATAACCTGAGATGCTGCACATCTGAAAGACACCTAGTAGGCATCTGATAGACAGAGATTTATTCTCTGATAGGGAAGATTGAACCCATTCCCACAAGCAGTGTGATGTATTTGAGACATCACAAAGCTTTCAGTAAGCTAATGGAATTCTTACTGTCTATTCATAAAAAAAGCTAAATTTGACATGTGTCTTTTCTCTGACAGAAAATATGCCATAATTCAGTGCGAAAGGGGTGGTGGATAGGTCAGACCTACAATTGTCTTTTTAGAATTATAAAATTATATATAATGATATCTGATGTTGGTGACTACGAGTGATAATATAAAAAAAAGACACTATATTCTGTCTGGTTTAATAAAAACTGATAACAGATACACAAGTGAAATCAACACAATAAAAAAACGAAATACTAAATTCCTGTATCAACAACTACAGTACATTTGAACTAAAACTAGTCAGATAATGAAAAACAATGGGCCTTGAAGCTACATCACCTATTTACTCATTCAGCAAACATGGAGCAACCTTAGCATTTATTTACTGTGAATTTATGTTCAATTTTAACTCTGCTTTAACAGATCTGGTTCTGGTTCTTTGTGGCGCAGTCAGGTAACTTTGATCCATGTTTTATTTGAAATATTGATAAGAGCAGTTTAAAAAGGACCACTGTGTAGGATATAGTAGCATCTAGCGGTGCAGTTGCAGATTACAATGCCCTCACCACACACTCCTGTTCAAAGCGTGTAGGAGAAACTACAGTGGACACAAAACTTGCAAAAAACATTAAAGGCCCCATCTAGAGCCAGAGTTAGGTTTGTCTGTTCTGGGCTACTAACATGGCAGTGCAACATTGCGGCCTCCGTAGAGATGACTTGCTCCTTCTGTAGAGGAAAACGGCTCATTGTAAGGTAACGGTTATTATTTTCAGGTGATTATATTATGATGAGCCTGTTCTGGGAGCCTATGCGGCACACAGCCTTTATAAAAGGAAAAGGACTCAAGAACCCCTAAAAACTTAAAAGTTAGGTTAATTTAGAGAAGCTGACTCAGTGTGTACTCAATCAAGAAAAACATTCTGAAACTTTCCTGCACTTTCACAGCATTTTAAGCACATTGCAAAAACTCTACTCTAGGCTGTACTCCTCCACACATAAACACACTTTACTGTCCAACATTATGTCTCCTCCTACTGTAGCTGAATTTTATATTAGTGTCTCAGATTGTTTTGAGATTGGTTATCACCACAATGTATTCATCGCTGTAATTTAGCTCATCATCACAGCCATCACTCCCTCCAGCCTAATTAAGCCTAATTACGCATGAGGCAACCATCAAAACAAAAGCTGCTGTTCCTTTAAATCTTCACCCCTTTTTAATTTTTTGGAGCGAGGGAGGAAAGTACATGAGGGTGAAAAAAAAGCAGGCGAAACCACACTGTCACAAAACCACACTGACAAACCGACACTCCCCTTTAAAAAACAAGCACCAACACACTGACTGAGTGACTGACCAGTGCTGTCCAGCAGCTTGAAGCAGAGAGCCTGCTGTGTGGATGTGTGCAGACCTCTGGACTTGGTGGGAGGGGGAGAAGTTTCCCCAAAGGCAAGCTTGGATCACTGAGAGAGACGATGCCTTCCTTCTCTAGCTCAGTCTCACAAGCCGCTCAGTGGATTTGCTGATTTTCCGAAATTATTTTCTGCAAGTTATTCAACGGGACAGAGGAGAGATTTTGAGCCAGAGGATGCTCCCACAGGTCATTCGGATTCTGTATGTCTTGTCTTTCTGCGTTTTCCAAGGAGGCTTTATCAGGTGAGGCGCACTTACATTTATGATTCCAGCCCCAGTCAGACGCGCCGATGCGCGCTCTCCTTCTCTGTGTTTGCGCGACTTATTTTGCTTGATTTGAACTTTTAGACCATTAGAGTCGACACTATGTGCTGTTCACATCACCTGCCATCTTATATACTTTTTCACTTGATTTGTATGCAGCCCTCTTTGTAATTATCCATTGTTTGTTTGTTTTTGGTTTTTGAGGATAATGAACGGTCTTAAGCTGCCTTTAACTAACTGTCCATTTATCAGACGTTGCTGTCATTTAAATGAAACGTAAGTGAACGAGGAAAAAGCCCGTCACAAAGCTGTGTATGCTGGCAGACGTGGGCATGATTTTTACAAAAACATAATCCAGCATTTTACACGCAGAGCAAACTGCGATCTCTGGTCACCAACTGTGAAATCATTCTAAATTTGATATCACCGTCGCAGTTTGGAAAACAGGCAGCAAATACAAATGTATCAATAAGATGAAATTCAAACTGTTTACAATGAAAAAAAAAAAGCATCAGATATCAAACCCTGTTGTCTCAGTGCGCAGATAAAACCTGTCCTGGTCGCAAACTACCTGTGGAATTTAGGCTGGTGTTGCAGGATTAACTGGTGGCTTTAATTGGAGATGATTTGTATAACATTAAGACTTCAGTGTATTATATGATATTCATGAGGTGATTAACAATTCAGTAAGAACATGTGAACAAAGAGCTCATTGGGAACATCCCATTCATTGCTGGAAGATGCCATGCATGTATACTAAGAATGCATCGGATATGTCTTCAGGAGCAGCATAAAAAGTGTTTGGCAGTGTCCAGAGTGGATTCATTATTGTAAGGAAAAAAAGGGGGAAGAGCTCCAGTCAGTTGTGTGTCTGGGGACAGACAAAACAAAACTCAACCCTATGCCACCTCCACCTTCATTCTGTCAGCTTGTCCTGCCACAACACCTCATGTCTCCATTTCCTCAGAACAACCATGCTCTTCCTCACTTCCTTACATACCTCCTTTCCTCTACTTCTTTCCCCTCTCTATCCTTCTTGGTGGCAAAAACTTTTATTTGCAGCGAACACTTTCCTTATTTCATGCCCTGCCAACCTCAGGTGTGAGCGGAAGGGAATTAAGATCTGCATAATCCTGGAGCGGAACAGAGCCGTGACGTTGTGAACCCAGGGGCGAGGGGAGCAGCTCTTAGCCTGGAGAGCAGTCAATTGACAGCACCTCCTCTGAGAAATTATATGCTCTCAGCCTCTCTACTTGCCACATAGGGGGAGGGAAAAGGAAAGGACTGAAGAGGGCAGGATCTGATGGAGGTGGGGAGAGGTATGGGGGAGAAAACGGGAATGGAGCAAACATGGATGGAGAGAAACGCAAACAAGAAATTGAGAGGGTGATTCATTTAGCTGGAGGCGGCGAGGAGATTAGTAAAGTGGAGGACGGGGCTGGGAGATGGAGAGAAATGGTTCAGATAGGAAAGAGGAGATGAGATGGAGTGAAAGAGAGAGGAGACGGTGGGTGTGGGAGACAGGAAGTGTTGTAAGAGATTTGAAAAAGATTGTCATGCAAAATAGTGAACAAGCTGGTGAAGCTGATAGGTTTCGAACTGGATGGTCGTCATCAAGAGGAAATGAGAACGAAAGGTGTAATAAATAAAGTTCATATCACAGTCTGAGAGGGTGATGGCTGAGGGGTTAGGAGATCTGTGTGTGTGTGTGTGTGTGTGTGAAAGAAGCATCTTGTATTGTTGCAACTTCAGGTCAGTTTTAGCTTGAAAGAAACCTACAATCTGGTTTTCTTAACTTATTCTGCCACCCAGTTTTGTTGCATGTGGGTTTTCTCAGCAGGTTTTGTAAAGGGTCATTCTAAGGGAGAAATATAATACAAAATGTATTTACTGGCAAGTGATATGTTGCATTAGCCATCACGTTGTGGTGTGCTCGCGCTTGTTAGTTGAAATTCTCTTTTTTGTTCACTTTTCTCCAGTTTACAGTTGCCTGCAGCTGCTAGAAATGTTCCTGATTTGTTGCATTTTTCATGAGTGTTGTTGGACTTCATATTTCTGGTTTACGTTACATTCCTTTTTGTTTTTCGAGATTCATTTATTTGGGGCTGGATAAAGTTGAAGTTAGGGCTTGGTATCAGTGCTGATTTGATAACTAAGCTTGATAACACACAACACCATAGAAATACTTACACTAAGAGATTGTGTTTTTGAAATGCTCTGAAATGTTGAATGTTTATTACACTGTTGGAGCTTCCCACCAGGTCAGTAGAGGACAACATGATTATGGTCATGGCACTAATTTGCAATATAATAAGCACCTGTACTTTGAGTTGGTGTGTTTGAAGTAAGGCATAATTCATGTGCTGCAAGACTGTGCTATACGTCATATTTTATGGCCATGGTGCTGCAAACCAATTGCAACCCACCACAAGAAGTAATCTGCTTCAGGTTTGTGTTTGTCAGGTAAAAAAACAAACTCTGTAGTAAACACCTGTGCTTTTCTAAAAAGTCAAAATGTTGGTTGTGAAAAATGCTTATTATGCACAACACATATGCATTTGCAGTGGGAGGCTTTGTAGAGTTGCTTTACCTAATGCAGTGTTCACACTACATGATTTTAGCTCTGATTTTCCACTTGCCAAGAGTTTCCCGTAGGGACGATCATTATGGAAGCTGTGAACAGACATGCATAATACAGACACGTATTATATATTGTTAATATATAATATTTCTTTAAAGGAGTTTGTCACAGGGAGCTTTTAATTAAATTCAAACTGCTAACATGTATATTTTGTATAATATGTATAACATTTTTTCACTACTACAGAAACACTAAGTAACTGCTTAAGTATGATAATGTTGACTGCTGTTAGTTATTGGTTTGATTAATGGTTTAATAATTTGTGTATTGATTACTGACGCTGGCTGATCAGGCTAATTATCAGCTAATTGTACTCTTGTTTCTAATGGCAGTATGCTGTAAATGTTTGGCCTTATGTGCATGTTTTTAAACTAATTTCCTAATTAAACATGATGTTTTTGTTATTAATGGTGTTAATGATTGCTGATTAAACGTAGTTTGGAGATCAGACAGATCTTGTAATGTGTGACCCCCTGAGCAGTCAAGTATTGGGCAAACGACTTTAAGGCCCTCAATAACAAGACAGAAAGTTATGTAGTGTGACCACGACATAAATGCCATACAAGAAGTTTTACGAAATAAAAAAAATAAACTTGCAAAATATTTAATTTCAAAAATCTGGAAATATCTGATAAAAGTAGATTTTTAAAAAAAAGTAGCTTTTGCTCAGTTCATAGCAGTGTTTGAATAAATGTGACTGCCACATTTTGGTCATAACCCAGAAAAACGTATCAAGGTGCCTAACCCAGCCCTAGTTGAAGTTATGAGCCCTCAGTTGGGGACGATAAAGACACTTGAAATATCGTATAGTTACATTGATTTGCAAGCTCTCCTATCTGGCGTTAAGTGTCAATAACAAGCTGAACTCAAGTTGTGGCACTTGCATTTGTTCACAGTGGGGCTTTAAACAGCAGTTTGTTCAATTTCGTTTCTGGTACACTGCTGCCTTAACAAGTATACGTTTATACTTGAGTTTGCTGTTGTGTTATCAAGCTCAAAGTGATCACACGCCGATTTCACCAGTATGTGCAGATCACAACAGTGGACACACAGATTGTGCAAATGTATCCACGTCCTGTGGTCATCTGATGTGTGGCTGTTCATTCGGAAATTGAGAGTGAAGCGTAGTGAATTGCATTGAAGTGAAGGGCAGAGAATGGCACCAAGGATCCCCCTGCCCTTGCCTCCAGTCAGTGAGAGATCATGAGTCAGAACTGGAAATATCAGAAAGCAACTAACTGGGTCCTCATAAGCCTGGTTATTGGGTGTCCATTTGATAGTGTGGATGCATGTGTTTGTGTGTGTATGTGAAAGAGAGGTAAACAATCACATCTTCAGAAAGTGTGTCAGTAGCAGAATTACTCATCTCTGGAGATGAACATAAGCAAAAATGCTCTAATCCAGTAAGGGATATAACAAGGAAAATGATTTTCTTCTTTACTGAGATGTCTTATGTTTCTCTTATTTTGGCTTTAAATATGTGGAATTGCTGTTAGACTTTAAACGTTGAAAATCACCATAAAAAAAAACAACTTGAAATTTGCATTTCAGGGTCCATTTTGTTGTTTGGTGACAGGTTTCTTGTGGATGCCCAATTAAGATGATGTACTGTATATGCCACTGAGATACTTCTAGTGCTACTGCAATTTTGTTTAATAACAGAAACACGCTCAGCTTTCTAAATGACCATCTTTAAATGTCAAATATCAGAATCAAAGAACAAAGGTTTCTAGACTCTCCAAAAATCTGTGCTTAAGGCTGAGAGCTCATTATTTTCAGTTTTAGATCCCTGTTTACTGTAAACTGTGGTAAGCAGTGTCCTCTTGCAGAAGGAAACTGAACAACTTTCAATGCATTCAGTAAAAGTTTATAACAACTACAATGATGAGCGTTGAGGGTCCATGCGTGCCCAAATCAGTTGCCTATAGCAGTTATCAGGCATTATATGAGTGGCATCTTATAATAGTATTTTGCTCCCATTTTGAGTTTTTTTTTCCAGCTACTTCACAGTTTAAAAAGTCAGTGGCGTGAAGTGCAGGGAGGGGAAGAAGATTTGGGATTAGGTCTGGTCAGTGTGAAGAGGAATGGGTGTTAACATTTTGTACCAAATAACGTCTCGTAGGACAACTGTCCTTGAACACAGTTAAGTTGGTGTTCAGGAAAAAAGTTAAGAGCAGCAGAACATTTTCCTACAAATTGAAGAATAATACACGGTGGTGGCAGGGTTTCCCCCAGAAAACTTGCTAAGCCTGATGGTAGGTTGGAAGGGCGGCTCACCCTAACCCTAACTTTGTAAACATCACAAAATATACATTTTAATCATTTACCTTAAGTTTAG